ACGTACCGAACGAGCGTCAGGATGGGCCAGAAATGAAGTGGGCAGCCCCTGGACATATCCGTGGGCTCCTCCTCACTCCAACTTCCCCTGCATCATGCAGTAGTATCGGCGACAGGCATTGTTCCACTAAATTTAGTGACAAGTACACTACCCACGCAGGCAGTGGGAAGGGGTAGGGGGTTAGGCACGGGGAGGGGCAGGACAAGCAAGCTGTCCATGGCAGTAACGTACGTCCACTATTTTGGCAGAAAGAATGACACCCTGGCATGGATATCCATGCGGGTTCTGGGATGAGGTCCAAGCCCGCCTGTCTTCTCCAATCTCCACGAACGTGGGGGGAGGGGTGTACCGTGTGTGTTCTTGTACGCTCCCCAAAGTGGAAAAGCACGCTCAAGGGTGCTTCGTTAAGCTGCTGTCAGGTTCGGGTTCGAGAAGCCGCTGGGGAACGCCCGCCCAGTGAAAGTGGGTGCCCCTTGTGATTTCCAAAATGGGAGCTATAGCGGGTGGACGATATTCAAACGTATGTATCCGTACCAGCAGCCCGTTTACGTGGAACGGCGCTCGACTGCCTTGGGAGCGGGTTCGGCGGTGACAGCTTTGAAGTCGATGCTACGTCAAGAGAAATGGGCGGGGACCCTCAGGGGTTCAGCAGCGAGGAGCCTGAAGGGAGGGCAAGGAATCGGGAGCAACGGGCTGGGGGGAGGTCGGAGCTACTGGGAAGACGAAGTGGGCTGAGAAAAAGGGTTCTGGGGCCGGTGAGGTGAAGATGGACATGGGCGACGCGGTTCTGGTTCGGTTTCTCTGTGGGTGGAGCGACGCGTCTGCAGGGCCCCTGGCTCTTGGAAGACGCGTCGGGCGACGAGAGAAGAGAACTACGCGTGTTGTATCAACAGGACAAGATGGTGAATCATGGTCTTTGTTCGCAGAGGCGAGAAGCGGTCGGCGTTGAGAAGAGAGTGAGACCGAGAGACAGGGGGAGAGCGCGCGCGTGTCGGTGTGTGAAGAATCGGCGCGTCTCTAATATATGTATGGTCTCCAAGCAAAGTTGCCTATATGTGCAGGTAGGTGTGCTTTCCCTGCCGCGGTAACACAAGACCGGGTGGGAGGATAGGGTGGTTGAAGCATCGACTGGTCGTATTCCGGAGATACGGTTCAAACCCTGGGCTCCTCGTGGCGAATCGGCCACGATCGTCTCCTTGGCTACCTAGATGCAGATAACTGGAACAAGGTAGATAGCATTGTTCTACTACTGGCGTGGTAATGGGTTTCTGAGCCGTACTCACATGACCCGGGCTCTCCGTGGGCATTCGGGCCAGGTGGGATATATGCGACCATGGATGAAAACCCTCTCGAATCAAAACATGTAGTCGTCTACGTCGCTACTTCGCCTGACGGTCCTACTGAAAAGCCATGCGTCTGGACCTCTCGAGCCCTGGCAAGTCAACAACGGTAAACGGAATCCGTGTGCTTTCGCTGTTTGTATATGGTTGTTGGTTCAGATCTCGTAATGCCGTCTTCATGGCTAGTGACGATGAGTCATATTCATGACAGGTTTAACACGTGTTCCGTGAAGTTTGGCTGGCGTGAGCTGGCCGGCAATACTATCAAAGTAGTGCTTCTTCTTTTGCAGTATACACCCGCCGGCCCTTCCGCAGCCTCCAACGTTTCTTGACTCAAGTGTGGAGCTCGGCAAAACGGCTGGTGTCGTCGATGAGATGAAGATGAGGAATACCCCCTTCAGGACGGCTTCGACGACCTCTCTAGAAGCCACAAATATGCTCTGCGAGCCTCTGGGGTCCGGGTTCATAAAGTATTCGAACAGCATTTCGGTGCGTTTGTCGATTAGCTACAAAACACGGCTCACTAAGGGAGTTCTGGCAGAGCAACGTGTACGTTGGATAAGAGGGGCCGACACTCCTCTCCCTCGTCTTCTGGAAGACAAAATCGAGTTTTCGCTGTGCCTTCGTTTCCGAAGAGAATATTCAACGTGCCGCGGTAATGCTTCTCGTTATTGGAACGACTTGACGAGGGACCGTGGACGAGCAGCAGTGGCACTCATCAACGAAGATTCCTGTTAGGAGGCGGGCGTATAGATATTGATTTCATTAAAGGGCTATTGACAAACACTGTTGCGATGGTGGCATCTAACATCGCTAAGATCATGCAATAAGTGGGCGTGAGTGATAAAAATATATGTATGAAGCTAGGTTGAGACTGGTGCGTCTGCCATCTACTCCCATAGCATTCCCTACTACCATCAAGTGAATACACATCACGTCGCATTCAACTCACTCGCTGATCAACGAACGAGCATAACCAATAGGTGTAGACATGACACTACGCAGTAATTGCATCTGGGCAATGATCTTACTGGTAGCACACAGGTCGGCACGACACTGGTCCATCTTCAAGTCGGTACGCTCCTCAATCAGGAGCATGGGCTTTATATCTCATGTAATGATGCAGCACGTCACTTGACTCTAAAGCGTCGAAGAACATCTTGAGCTCGCCGCAGAGAGTGGAACTGCTTGAAATCCGAGAGTATTGCACTGAGAAACCCGTCGACGTTTATCGTGCAGGCAAAGAGCTTCCAATATCTTCGCAAATCCTCCAGATAGTCGCTATATGACGTGTGGCAGAGACAGTCAACGACTAGCAATGATGCCGTCGTAGCCTTCTCGCAAGTAGCGAGGCTCATGATCGAACCCAGCCATCCATGTGGTGATCCTTAACTTGATCTTGGCTTGCCTAGAACAAGCGAGGTGACGGACATGCTGTTCACAATAGTCTAGAGGCTGGGATCCCCCAGTCAGTTGATAATCACCAAAGCCCAAAACGGCACGCATTTCCAATCGAGTGACCTACCCATGTAGGGTTACCCGTATACCCGCGCCGGTCCAATCACTTCCGAGACCGGTAACTTTGTAGAAGACCTCGTCTACCACTACTCGCTCAGCTCTTCTGACGAGGAAGCGGTCGACTGGCGCCAGGTTCAGAAGACCCCCAGACGTGGCAGGCAGCGCTAGTTGTTGCCCCCCTTTTGCATCTTCTGCTGTTGTCAAGAGTTGAACCATTCTTGCCGCAGAAAGACCAAGACTAACTGATTGCTTGGCCTACCGAATCCTCCAAAACGCTGTGCATTGGAAATCGTTATCGGTCACGCACTATGCACCTCCGACACCGGCAGCTACCGTCTCAATCAGAAGGGGTATATCACCCAAAGCGGTTGGAACACCGTCCTCGCCATCATCTTCCAGGAGATTTCGCATTTGAAAACAAGGGCAGCACAGTCTTGGAGAGCTCGTTAAGCAGAAAGATTCCTAACAGCTATACATTGCAGGCCTGGTAGATATATGTAGGCGAAGGCTGAAAGGCATCTTTCGAGATGACTTGCCTAGGACGAACGAACCTCAGCTTGCAACCGCGTTGTGTAATGCTTCAGCCCCTGCTCCCACCCATAAACGTCGCCTTCGATACCGAGGTCCTTAATGGTGACAGTCGAGTCGGGATGATAGCTGTACCAGTCCGGGTGCTGCTCGCTGAACCGAAACTGCTTGGGCATATCCGCCCCGAACACGGGCCCCCACATCTTCACGGCCGCCTTGTCCGACAGCTCGGCGTAGACGGCCGTCTTGCCCGTGACCATGCTCCAGCCTTCCACGACGGCGGACCATGGGATCAGATCCGTCAGGACCGGCACGAACTTGCCAAACGACTTCTCGGCCTGTGCCAGGATCGCCTGCACGACGATGCCCGTGTTGAGCTCCACGACCCCGGCGACAGGGACGATGCCCTCGGCCTTGGAGGGCAGCGCTAAGAGGTACTTTCCCAAAAACGGCTGCGGCGCTGAGAGCGGGAGGTTGACCAAGTTATCCACGTACCAACCCATCCAAATCTCCGTCGTCTTGGCCGCCAGCTCCGGGTAAGTCTTCTTGACGTACTCGCCGCCCCGGGCCTTGGCGTCCCAGTGCGGGCACGGCAGCTTACCGCCAGAGATGATCTCGCAGTTGGGCATGGTGCTCAGAACCAGGTGTTTGAGCGTGGGCATCTTGGCGGCGGCGTCGGCGATGTTGACGAACTGCTTCTCTTCCCCCGCAGTAGCGGCCTCAACGCCGTCCTTGAACGCGATCTCCCAAAAGTTCGTGGTACCGAAGATGGCCATGGCTCCCTCGAAGGCGCGAGGCAGGCTCGACGCGTCGTCTAGGTTGGCCGAAACCATCTCTATACCCAAGGCTTCAAGCTCCCGAGCTTTGTCGCTGTCGACATTGCGTGTGACGCCGCGGACCTTCCAGGAAGGGTCCTTTGCGAGCAGGCGGGCGACGGAGCCACCCTGGGTTCCAGTGGCGCCAGTGACTACAATGAGAGACATGGAGAAGGAAACGTAAGGCACTGGGATGCTGCCAAAGTATGTGAGGTGCTTGAGCTGTGGAATGGACGTGTGATTGATACCGAGGAGACAAGGTCTCCGCCGTCACGTTATACTGGCCATGGACCCCTCCTGAATATATAGACAGTTTGGAACAGGGGGATTCAACTAACTGGGCAAATGCAGAATTACTCACCATTGGGCAACATACGATACCTACATCTTCTGGCGTCAAAATTGGAGAAAAGCCGTCCCCCGGAGGAAATGGACCGGGATGCGACAACCGCTAACCAACCAGTGCGGTCGATTGTTGCCTGTATAGCACGCCCATGTTGCGTCTTGTTCAGGGGAGGTCATGAGAGGCACTTATGCGGGCTATGTGATTCGTGAAACTGAGATAACCCCGCAATGTTGTACGAAAACAGTGATAACGTACATGCGTCACTCGCTATGATGCGTCACTCGCTGTGCATATACGTTATTCAGAGCGGATTTCGCTCCCGATATGGCCATTTCAACTTGCCCTCCCCCCCCCCACTGATTATCTCATTTCTACACGGGTACACAGATTCTCAATGAACTCAGCGGGGTAAATGTTTGTACATTGGTAGGGTGTCCCAGCATACGAGTATGCGAAAAATGTTGGTTCGATTCTCAAGAAAATACCAGCCACCATCAAATATAACAATCCCACATGGCCTCACTTCTTGCGACATGGAGACATGTTATCACTTACCTTGAGTGCAACCCAAACCTTACCTCAAAACTGCTCGGGCTCGGGCGCAGGAGAGCCCATATGCTCTCCAGGCTTCAGACCAATCTCCCAAAATGTGACCACCTCGCACCTTTGACAGCCATTCTGTTTCTTGACACCGTGAGTAAAGCAGCGTACCGGAACACGCGCCGGACGTGGCGGCGCAACAGCCCGAATGTCCGGCCCCATATATGGGGCGATCCCCGATGACCCCCGATAAGCGGGGCCGAACAAATCCCCGTCCGGGTCGCGCTCCGATGCCTTCTCCGCAGTCATCTCGGAATGTTCGGAGGGAAACGCGTCGCATTGCCCGTCGACAAGACCGGAAAACCTGTGTGAATATTCCGCTGGGTCAGCCAGGAAACCAAGCTCGGTGAAGCGCAGAGGTGATACGGGCGGGATGGCTGGTAATGCATATACTTTGCGAGGGCCCGGGGGCGAGGCCGTTTGTGGAGACGAGGAGTTGGAGTTGGAGTTGTCGTGCGATCTTTTTGGCGAGACATAGGTCAAGGGACGAGTTCGTTCGGAGACGGAAATGGAGTCATCGTCGAGATAGAAGTCAATGTGCTCATCGTTTGCGTCTTCCTTGTTGTCGTCTTCACCACTGTACCAGAGTTCACAATAGTTGTTATCGTGACCCATTCCAGAGCCCCCTTGGGCAAGCTCGTCTTCGAGCTTATGCTCCCGAGCGCCGATAACCCCCCCGAACAGTTCACCGGGAGGGCCAGACGGCGGTGATGAACGCGGTGATGGAGTTTTGGGGTATCTGGGGTGGGAGTTAAGACTGCAGCGCAAAGTATTGAAAGGAGCAACAGTTGCGTAGTGAGCGCTCGTCCTCGAAATACCTGCGGAGATACCCGAATCGTCGAGGTCGGCCTGCGCCTGAAGCTCCCGGACTCGTCTCTTGTGCTCGGCCTCGAGCACCTTGAATATCGCCTCGCGCTCCTGGAGGACCATCTCCATTCGCAACTTCACGCTGGGCTGTTTCGTTTGGCAACCTGCTTTCCTCTTGGCGACATGCATCGGGAAGTCTTCATTAGATGCCGGTGATGGATGAGAGATCTGCGGTACATGTTGCCGCTGCGAAGGCGGAACTGAGGTTAGAGTCTCGCCAGATCGGTTCTTGAGAGCCGCTAGGCTCGCCTCCTCGGTGCCAGGATGGCCCGATCCGCGGTATAGTCCGTACGACTTGAACAGCTCTTCGGAAGACTTGAGGCCACGGGTCCAGCTGATGGTGGCTTCTCTCATATCAATCGCGATTCTGTGAACATCCAGGCGATGATTTGACCGGCACAAGTCACAGGACTCAATCGCGACCTGCTTGCCGAGAGCATTCACTAGCGACTGTACCGACAGGGCCATGATCATGCCCGTACTTACCTCTTTGTAGGTCTGCATATAGCCGAACCACGACTTGCATAACATCTTCACAGGACTTGTGAGGGCTGAGACCGGAACACGTGACGGATTTGTGGCGTAGTTCCATTTCTGGGCCGCCTTGAAGGACCAGAAGTTCCACAGTATTCTCGTGGCGTTTAGGTGGGATACGTCGAGTCCGGTGTAGGCGGCCTCGCAGGTCTTGCAGAAGCCGAGGATGATGGCTAGTGCTTGCGAATGCTGGCAGAGTGGCGCGATACAGGCGTGGCGCCCAGCCTTGTCTGGTTTATTACAGAACTTGTTGCACTCGACGAGTTCCACGGTGCAGTGGGCACAGATGGTGAAGACGGTCTTTCGAATGAAACACATGTCTGCAAGCGCGAAGTATCAATCGGAACCGATTAATGGCAATAGAAAAGGCAAGTCAGGGTACTCGCCGTTTGTCTGCTCTTGGACCAAAGTGGTGTTTGGGACTGTTACTGGCGAAAAGAAGAAACTGTGAATAGGTGGATGCTGTTGATTGCGGAAGACAAGTTCGGGTGCGAGAACTTGGAACTCTCTTATACCAAATGCTGAAAACAGACACCGTGATACAAAGAGTGAACAATGAGAAGCCTTGCGCACAGAGTTTGATTAACGCCATTGTCCGTACGCACGAGCTCTCGAGACACAACGTCGATGTTGTGGACAAAGATGCTTCCCGAACAACTACGCAGTCGGGTAGGTTCTTTTTCAATGTTCGCAGATAAGTATTGAACCATACAACATAATTACATTGTCAATATGAGGGACTCGGCATGGGGGGGAAGGCGGCGTGTGATTTCAAGTGCTCTGGCGCAAGCTCTCGCGTTGGTGCAAGAAGGTTGCTGCCCATTGGGCAAACATGGAGAGACTTGTAGGTACAAGCCCATGATATGAAGTCATTAAGGTCATGATTATTGTAGGCACTACTAGGTAAAATGCTCAAAGTCCCGGTCCCGTTCCAGGGTAACCTTTCGGGTGCTTCGTGTTTATCCCCCATCTGTCGAATCAAAGTCGCCATGCTGCCATTTTCAGGCTGTTCAGCCATCAGGTCGGAAAGCAAGTTAGCGGGCCATCTCCATCAATGCCTAATCGACGGAGCAAGCAAGCAAGCAAGCATTCACAAGCCATAATTCTTGTCCTTGTCCTCGACGGGAAACTCCTTGCCGGTCGCGTTCTTGTACTGGTCCCGGATGAAGTCGGAAATTTGTTCATCCTTTGCTTGCTCAACGGCGCTCTCGTTGTCCTGAGGGCCTTGGCCGAGAACCTTTTCCTGGACAAAGTCGACAGCTGTGTTCCGCTGTCAGTATCTCTGCACAATGAGGCTGTTAACAGGACTGTGGAGGAGAAAGCCGGTACCCTTGTCAAGACCATCCTCCTGCTTTTCGCTCTCGCGACCACCGCCGGCCATACCGTTGAGTTTGTCCATGAAGCCGCCGGACTCCTTCTTCTCAGGCTGGTCAGCTGAGTGAGAAGCTGCGTTGTTGTTGTCACCTCCAGCAAGGTTCTTGACGAAGTCCATGACGAGGGTTTATTGGTGGTGAGGAACGGGGTGTGTTCGATTGCTAAGTAGGCGGGGTGTGAATGATTATGGAGGATTGGGTACAACAAAGAGGAGATGGTGAGCTCGGCTACTTGTAGTGAAGAAAGAGATGATAAAAACCCATCACAAAGCGGGGGGGGTCATCGAGCGATAAATGGTCGCTCAGACTAGGTAGGTAGTGCTACTTGCTGGTAACACCTTCCTGCCTGTCCAGGTTGTCTTGGCAGCAGCCAGCCAGCTACGGTATTGGTTTGGAAGTCGCGATACGATGCACCACGCGCTTGCCGCTCATCGATAGAGAAGTTACATCATCAGCTGGGCAGGGGCCACTGACGCAGGCCAAGGAAGGTTCCGGTCAGCACGGCTCTTGGAGGGATACCAGTACCAGTGAATTGGAAGACGTGGGGGAGGCTAGGAAAGCCAGGGCAACATTGTTCCAACAATGAGCTGGATAAACCTGATATGGGAGGTTCCCTCTCACCCTTTGCCAAGAATTGGAAGGGGGAAAAAAAGGAACGAGGCTAAGAAGGGAGGGCATATGGAGCTAATCCACGCTTGGTGACGTGATGCCCGGCGTGTCATCCCGGTATTCAGCTCGCTTCATCAGGTCCCCTGGGCACTGTCATCGACCGTCGACGTCTCATTAGCCAGGCCCACTTTTATATCCCATCAGAATTCTGCACCGCCACACATCGCGGGGTTCTATGGGCAGAAGCAGGGTGTGGCTTGACCCTGACTGGCCTCGCACTCGCCGGCTGACTCAAGCTACCTACCGGTACTACGTATTCGTCATGTCGGCGAAAGCGCCCCGCCATCCCACCCGAGCTTTAAATCATTGCGACGGCGCAAACGACGACAGCCGTTGTAGCTGACCACTGCACAGAACGAAACGACATCTGCAGAAGTACACGGCACGGGAACGGTCAAGATGGACACGAAAACGACACCAGACCTCCTGAAGCGACCGCTTTATGGTTCGCCCTCGTACACACTCTGTTACCCCCCCATCGCATGCTAACTGAGTGGCAGTCTACGACCTCCCGCCCGAAGTTCTGACAACACTCTCCCTCAAATCCGACGCGTCAATCCCCGATCAGACCCCGCCATCGCCCCCAGCAAGAGACTCTTCCAGTTCCGATCTCGTAGGCGCTCAGGCCTGCTCGCTATGCGCAACCACTTTCTCCTCCGTTCTCGACCAGCGAAGCCATCAAAAGTCCGACTGGCACCACTACAACCTAAAGCAGAAGCTGCGGGGCGCAAAGCCCGTGTCCGAAAACGAGTTTGAGAAGTTGATCGGAGACCTTGACGAAAGTCTGTCGGGCTCAGATTCGGAAGAGTCAGAAGACGACGAAGACGAGGCGGGCCGCAAGGAGACTACTCTCACAGCGCTGCTGAAGAAGCAAGCCACCCTTGCCGAGAGGAACAGGACCCCCGTGCCTGGCGAAGACGACGAAGCAGGAGAGACGGTGCGACGAGCAGGCAAGGGCAAGCCCCCCCTGATATGGTTCACTTCCCCTGTCCTCCCTTCTAACACCTACTTCGGCCTGTACCGAGCCATCCTCACGGGCGAAGAGCTTCGCGAGGATGCGAACCTTGTAGAAATTGTCAAGAAGAAGCAGTTGGATCCCGTAGCCGCGCCAAAAGTCCCCAAGGACGGCTCGGCGCCGCCACCAGCGGCCTATAAGGGCCCTCACTTCTTCTTGTGCATGATTGGCGGCGGCCACTTTGCCGCCATGGTGGTCTCACTCGCACCGCGCCAGAACAAGTCCTCTGTCGGGGCACTGAACAGAGAGGCCACCGTTTTGGCCCACAAGACTTTCCACCGGTATACGACCCGTCGCAAGCAAGGTGGCTCGCAATCCGCCAATGACAACTCCAAGGGCAATGCCCATTCGGCCGGTTCCAGCCTGCGCCGGTACAACGAGCAGGCCTTGGTTGAAGATGTACGCAACCTTCTACAGGACTGGAAGGGCCTACTGGACACTTCTGAGTTGCTTTTCATCAGAGCAACGGGAGCGACGAATCGTCGCACGCTGTTTGGGCCGTACGACGGACAGGTCTTGAGGCACAACGACACGAGGATACGAGGGTTTCCGTTTAGCACGCGAAGAGCAACGCAGAACGAGCTGATGCGATCTTTCATCGAGCTCACGAGGCTAAAGATCAGAGAGATCAACCCGGAGGACGAAGCAAAACCAAAGACGGAACAGCCCACGTCTGCAAAAGCCGCGGCCCCCAAGCCCACGAAGCCAAAGCTTACGGAGGAAGAAGAGACGGCACTCCTGCACACATCACAGATTCAAGCCTTTATACGCCGCTCCAAACTTCCGGCACTGTTGTCGTATCTGAAAAGCAACGACATCAGTCCCAACTTTGAATTCCAACCACCAGGTCAGAACTATCACACACCGACACCCCTGCACCTGGCTGCTCACCAGAATGCCGCGCCTCTGGTCCTCGGCCTCATCACCCGTGCTGGTGCCTCTCCACTCATAACCAACAAGGACGGCAAGACGCCTTTCGACCTCGCAGGCGACAGGTCGACAAGAGATGCCTTCCGCGTCGCTCGCTCGGAGCTCGGCGAGGGCAAGTGGGACTGGGACGTCGCGCGCGTGCCGGCGCCGCTGAGCAAGGCAGACGCGGAGAAGCGCGACGAGCGGGACAAGAAAGAGAGGGAGAGCAAAGAGACGGAGAGGAGACGCGCCGAGGAAGAGAGGCTACGCGCCGAGGGACCCAGAGTCGATGACAGGAAAAAGAGGGCTGGTGCCCTGGCGGCCGTCGCGTCGACAAAGACGGCGCAGGAGAAGAGAGAGGAAGAGGCGAGAGGCCTCACCCCTGAGATGCGGATGAAGCTTGATCGGGAGAGGAGGGCTAGAGCCGCCGAAGAGCGTCTCAAGCGAATGCAGGGCGGTGGATGAACCGGGAGTCTCACCAGGACGTGCCGAACGGTCCGAATTTTTGTTCCTAGAGGCATTACTTGCCGCGTCTGCCACGAAGATAGACAATCGCCTAGGCTAGATGAAATGTCTGAATGGATACCCCTCAGTGGCTTCACGCATAATAAAGAGACGTCAAAACGGCACGAATCGATGATTATCCGTATAGTCCACGCTCCGAGGTGGTCCAAAAGGAAAAAGGAAAGATTAAAAAAATTGAACCACCTCCGACCAATCCGACCCCCGTGGCGGATGCCGACGATGGTCCGTCAGCGGCGTCTGCGGGCTCTCCTCCCCCATTTCTGATCATGGCACCGTCTCGCCCAACACCACCGCAATAAACCTAGGCTGAGAGGCATCGCAGTCGCGCAGAATATGCGACGCGAGACGCAAACGTTCAACTACGCTTCACAATATGCCCTCCCCCCCCCTTCCCCACCGGGCGGATTGTAAGATGGACGACGTGTGGCAATATACGACGACAGACACTCACAGCAGGGAGTCTCCCTGCGGAAGAGACTTGATGGGCCGGATTCGACCACGGTGGCACGACACCTCCCAAGATGACACCCGGGGCGTGGCGTGCCGGGCCCAAACTCTACACCAAGGCGAGTCTTGGCCAGAGAGCACATCGCATCGTCATCGGCGGCGCCCAAGGTACGCAGCGGCCGAGACGGCCTGGGCCTCGCTGGCACCAACAAAGTGTCGCCCTGGATGGCACTGATCGGCATCGGGGCATGAGACATCCAACGGCGGACCGTTCGGACGACGACGATACCTACAGGGGGTTGGGTTTCTCGACAATGATGCGTTTCCGATTTCGCTTCCTCTCTCCCGGCGCTGGATTTACATACGAAATCTCGGGCGAAACCAACGCCCGCCATGGCGAACGCAAGGAACAAACCCCAACTCCCCTTCAGCCCCCCCCCTCCCGCCATCGTACGACGAAGCCTGCCCCCCGTTTCTATCTGCGACAAAGAGGCCCTCCTGCTGCCGAATTGGTGGGAAGCCCTCTTCGCGCACTGTCGAGCCTTCGTCGTTGACACGGCGGCGGCGGCATCAAACCCACCGCCGACGTCAATGCACCGAGACACGCCTAATCCCAACTTTGAGTCTGCTTGCGAGACCGGTGTTGCTTGTTCTCTCCAAGCCACCATTCTACACCAAACCCCTGGTCCAACCTTGTCGGCGAATCGCATCTTTCATCGGCCAGGGCACATGCGGCACCTCTTCTCCCTTGTGCTTCTTGCCCCTTTCGACCCCAGAGAACGACCCAACAAAAAAAGAGACATCTATCTGTTATACGCTCGCAGACAGATAGATGGCAGGACCCCCGACAGGAAAGGCGGAGCCGCGAAAGAAGATTGTAAGCGGACAGCGACCGAGCCAAAGAATACACCACGTACGAACACCTGCGCGACTTGCCTCCGTCTTTACCCCCCTTTCTTCGCATCCTCAAAAGCCGTCCCACCAACCCCCCCCCCCCCCCCCCCCCAAATATCCAAGGCTCAGCCGTGTCCTGCAGACGCCTGGGGAGGAAGGTATCCTCATGGGCATAAACTGAAGAGGCTCGTCGTCGCCAACGCAGCACGGGGCAAAAAGCCACACGGGGAAACGCTACGCCGCGGGTCGTCCCCAAAGCGGAGACCCGCCGAACGCCCCGGGATTCCCGTTGATCACGGCAGATCGCCGTCGGCGGTTCACATCGGGGCTAGACTGAAGTCAAATAAACAGCTTCCGTTTCACAGCCAACCTCCTTGAACACCGGGAGAGGGAAAGGCGGTTTTTTTTTTTTTTTTAAGTAAAAAACTAAAAATAGAAATAAAAACAGAATGATGCCTTTGTCGGCCATTAAAGGCCCCGGGGCAAGACAAGTCCCTCCGGAACAATACCCATGGCCGTGGGTAGAGATGCCTCGAGCAATATCCCAACATCGGCGAGATTTCGGTCGTGAAACCAGCCAGAACCCGCCCAACTGGCCAGCCCAGTCGCAGCCAACCTGCCTGCAGAGTAGGTAACGCGACGTTCTCTCTGCTGAACACCATCTCCACATCTCCTCGCAGTGGGAGGAGATGAAGAAAAAAGAAAAAAAGAAAAGAAAGGTGTTGACCAAGATCTGCGAACCACACCAGTGCACCCGGCCAGCCCTGCTGCATGTAGAATTGCCAGGGAGATTCCTCTTCTCTGACGAGCCTCACAGCCACGATCCTACGTCACCGAAAGGCCCGCATGGAGAAAACGCGAGCCTGCGTTCGGATCGAACATGATGCATATTTGAGCGGAGTAGGCCATCGGAACAATCGAGGAGCGCAGGCACAGGATGATGGTTTCCACAAGTTCGGACAAAAGTCCTTGATACTCCTGTGTAAACCAGTGTGGCTGTCAGGACGAATGGAATGAACCCGGCTGGGCCCCGGCAAAGCGGAAGAGAAGCACGGCCTATGTATGAGCAAGTACGGAGTACTCGGGCCATAAATGAAAGGCAAGGAGAGGAATGCATACACATAGAGAGGGGGGGGGGAGGCCTTGTGCTGGCTGGCCACACCTTTCAGCTGGGCTTTGAAGTCGGGATGAACTTTGGCCCAAGACGACGACAATCTTAGCCACAACTGCAAAGCAAACACTTCGTATCTGCGGAGTGAAACAGCCAAAGCCTGCGTCAGATGGGCCTGTCACCGCTCAATGTGCCCAGAAAAGGTGGTTGAAAGGCGAGCATCGCTGGACAGGAGGTCAACTGCCGCAGGCTGGATAGTCGGAGATTTCGCACCCCTGTTGCAAGGGGTGGGCGGCTAGCTCGCTCCTCTTTGGGACATCGGCGACGAACCTCCCTCCCCCTCCCTGGTCACCACCGTTAGGGTTGTACCATTGAAGGTTCAAGACTTTCTGTTGATGTCGGATCGGGCGACCCTGGTCCCTGGTTTTGAAGCGAGTCCCCTGCGGAGGCTACTTGGTTTTTTTTTATGGCCCCCCCCTCCCCCGGAGCAGACTGCCTGCCGCTCAAAGGGTACTGGGACAGAGACAAGCCCGGGGACAGAGGCACATAGGCGCACTGACGGCTTAGAGCCATGTTGGCTGGCCCTTGCCACGGATCTGTCTGGTTGAGGGATCACAAAGTGCCGAAGAAACAAATGCAGCCTCGGCAGACAGCAGTTGCTGAGATTAGAAGCTCAGCGGGACCTGGGGATTGAGAGGACAGCATGGAGCCCGGTCGTCCATGTGGCGGGGGAGAGAAGAGCATCCCGGCGCACGACAGCGGGTGGTACGATGGGAAACTCGTCGTAATTGCTTTGTCTTTCTCCAGGAACCCGTTTTTGGATGTCCTGATTTCCTCTTTCGTCTATCCAGGTACGAATCTAATCTGCGGGCCTCAATGATCGACGTCAAGGCAGGGTAGATGGCATGGATTGTGGGGAGGGCCGCGTAAACCCCAATCAATTCCCTGCCGTCGATGAATTCAATCGAATGCTCATTATTCATCTCGACAAACCTCGGCGCCAACAACGAGATGAGCAGCACGGTGGCCATTCCCTGTTCGAGCACCGGCGTGGAGGCATGATTAGATATTGATACCGGGACTGCTTCCGGACAGTGATGGACGGAGGTCGTTGAAATTGAGGTCAGGCCTCACTCAGTAGGGTTCGGAAAAGGCCTTTCTCGGTGGCTTTCAGTGACGCCCGCCAAGATAGTCAAGAGCCCACGGAAAGGATCATGCGGTATCACAGCGCCGCTGTCTGCGAGCACAGCACTGTCTGACTTGGGCGACTAGGGAGCATTGTATGTCCCCTGTCTGTTCATATGTCATCCAATCTCCCCTGGCCCGGTCTACCGTACGCCGCGTCGGCTCAAGCTCCACTGCACGAGCCTCGACGCCGCCTGCTACGTTGATTATCTAGAGTAAAGGAACATAAGAAGAACAGTACGCAGAGTAGAGTTATTTAGTTGGCAGTGAGAAGAGGTGTTGTTTCAGCCGAATGCAATCGGAAATTGAAGGGCTTTCCAAACTTAGGTGGAGGAAAAAGCGGTTGGTTGTATTATTGCGACTTTGGGTATGGCTCGTGTCCTCGGATTCAGGTGAGGATCCCCGATTAGGTAAAGGGCCCCGGGCTGTGTCGGCTCTTTCTGTCTCGGTGGGCGTTCGGTCGGGCAGTTGATCGACGTCATGCTCGTAAGAATCCCGTCCTGTCTGTCGGTCGGGGATAGATGGCCGAGTTGTATGCTGTCGACGGGTTCGTTAATGGCCATTCATCAAGAATATGGTTGTCACGGTGTCGCCAAGGGTTTGCCGCCCGGCTTTTAGTAATTGGCGTAGCCATCGCCTCGGAGTAGGAAGACATCGGCATGTCTTGGATAGACACTGGATTAACAAGACTTTGCGGCACTGACAGGTGGCCGTGGGTGGCGGTGAGTTGTCTGGACAAGGCATCTGTCAGCAGTCATCACGTCGTGGCGCGCGGTCAGGCCAGCGCTTCCCGGAGGGTTGCAAGAAAGTCTTGAATAGTGGCCCAATACGACGCCAGCCATGTTGCAGCGTCTCGCCCAATGACCCATCAAAGAGAAAGGAGGATACTCGGATCTAAAAACAAAATCCAAACAGCAAAAGAGGTGTCGATCCACACACTCAAATGGAACACAACCGCCGAGAGGGGGTGGCTAAGAAGCGAGATGGAAACCACCAACAATGTAACCTTGTCGCCAAGGTGGCAGTAGCAACACACGATTGGTTGTCTTGCTTTCGCAGGCTTCGGGTGGCTTGGTGGCTTTGAGTGGTGAAACAAGCCGTTTACGCTTGAGGGATCTTTGGGACGGGCATTCAGGTCTAGATAGGCGGGACACTTTCTAAAAGTTACACGCGGACAGTCGAAGATTGAGAATAGTGACGTCTGTTGATGTGTCATCCACGGACGGCATGCAGCAAGTCGTAGAAGGGGTTCTCCGTCTGTCGTTGAGGCCCATTGGCCATCAAGGCTCGGTGTAGCATGCCGGCTCAAGTCTGGCGCAGAAGCGATCAAGCGATAGGGGGTTAGCCGTAGGCGGATTCGCAACGTCTCCGAAATTGGTTGCGGTCGTCATTTTCCAGTTGATCCGGTGGCCGGGCGGATGGTCAATAGCTCAAAACTGCTGGCAATTAATTGAAAAGGAATGTACGGATATCCAAGACGAGATCATGTCGCTTGACGTGACGGGCGTGGCAACCGAAATCGGCCCCCGAACCGATCGAACAATTTGAATAGACTCTGTTCGGGGGGGCAGGCAGACCATACCATGCGGAAGCGAGGACCGGGGACGCTCGGAGCATCGTAGACCTTTTGGCCACGGGGTCTGAGCATCGATAGCCCAGTATGAGAGGTGGGTGCCGATGGATTCGGGCAACAAGACCGGTCGACATGGCCGGCCTGTCATGATGGGGAAAAGAATTTGTCGAGGATCTTGGTCATGGGGATCCCGTAATTAGTGCAAGCACGTGGCCTCTTCAGATCGTAGTGTAGCGTAGGCGTGAGCTTTTCCATCGGGAGGCAGGGGTGAGGGAGAGAGAGAGAGAGTCCTGAATCTGCGATCAAGGCTACCCCGACTGTTCTGTCGTGCAGGATACGTGGGTACTGGGTTGTATGGCTATTCGGATGCAGGTTCGATGTCTTTTCATTGAAGAGTCGACGAGGTGAAGATGGAAACGACGTGGGCTAGGACAAGGGGGGGAGCACTGGGTCGGTCGCGATGTGATCTCAGCGGCAGGGGCATACCGTATGCGAAAAGCTGTGGGGTGATGCAGCTAGGATGCTATGCACGAGGTAGCTATCTATCTGTAGGTACGTACCTGGTAGAGTGTATACACCGTACGAATAGTCGAATACCTAGGTAGGTACCTGTTTAGATGACATTGGACAAGGAGCCCCTCGGCCTCATAGGAGAAAGACCCCTTTTCTCTCTACCCACTAAGTACTACCTACTACCACTACGCGAGCCATTTAGCTTCTTACTAGGTGGTAGGTAAGTGCCGAGGTAGGTAGGTGCTTGTGTCCGTACTACTTTAGCAAAAAAAGGCAAGAAAGGCAAGAAGCAAGTAGCAAGAGGCAAGAGGTGAGAAAGAGGCAGGGGGGCTACTACACCCGGTATGGTCTGGACTCTGGCCTGGACTCCGGCCTGGTCGGGTCTTTCCCAAGAAGTTTTCCCCTTCCGTTTATCGATGATTGGCTCCAAGTCGCGGTTCCTGCATTTGTGTGGCAAGGGAGCCAGGGGCTGAGCGTCTCAACTTGCACCAGGGAGTCAGGGCAAGCGCCAACGACACGAGGACGGCAGGACGGCAGTCGACTGACAGCTGCAGCAGAGGGAGCCAATTCTGGGGAAAAAAGGTGAGATGAGTTTTATTTTATTTTTATCTTCGCTGTCATGTTAGGTAAGAGCTTCTTTGGCCCGATGCCTCCTCGTTTAAAGTGCCGTGGGCACGTACCTATCTTGGTGCACGCACGCATCAGGCAAACCGTCATGTCCGAGACGGCGGCGCGTTGAAGTACCATCTATGTACGGATACGAACTCACGGAATACATATCGTCCAACAGCATCAAGCCTTTTGAGATGATGATGTCGGCCTGCGTCCCGATGACAGAGGAAGAGGAAAGTAAAGCCTAAAATAACACACAGTTTGTCGTCATCCTCAGCTAGACATGAAAGCGCAAGACGAGCTGACGTTAGGCGCGGAGGCCAGCGCATCGCCGTGTCTACGCTAGGTACTGAATGCAGTGCACGAGGAGCGGGAATGCAGTATGGAGACTGAGAGTCCGAGATACCTACTCCAGACCACCAATTAATCTACGATTAGCTTGATCGCCTGGTTGGATACCTAAAAGTAAAAGCCGAGGTACGTATCCAGGGCGGAGGACCCTCCTCACACAGTCGAATAAACACAGTATAAGCATTGTGCTCAGGGGGACGACTTGCCGACCGGACTGGACAACGGCGGTCCAATCATTTCCATTATGGGGACATGGTGCAGTTGCAGTTGTAGTTGCAGTTTAGCGGTTGCAGCCAGTTCGAACCGAATCCAGTTGGAAAGCCGGTCGTCTTGGAGCCTGTCTCCCGCAGCGCCCAGCCAAGATTTCAATGCCAGCCTTTGTGGAGAGTAGCATTTAACGGCCTAACAGCCTGTCAGCCCAGAAAAAGCAGACCTTTGGAACAGGAACAGAGGCTGCGCGCGGACTCTGTTTTCGCCTCGCTCTCTTTCTTGCTTTTCCGCCTCTCGCTCTCTCACTCTCCTCCCCCCCCTTTCCCCCCTATTACCAAATGCTATTACCAAATGAGAGAACGGTTTGCAGCTTGGGCCTCTCGCTTTCTCTCTCTGCCGTTCGCTTGTATGTATGGTTGAGTATTCTCTCTATTCAAGTTCCTACCATGTAGGAGGGTGGTTGCGGTCGGGTTTCCGTTCATGTTCCTGAACGGGAATAATGGGAAGGCAGGGGTAAAGATACGTATCGAGACAAGCTCAGGTGCCCCCCCCCCCCCCCCCCCGGGTTGTTTAGTTTACATGTGCCTGCCTATATCGTGGACTCCACTACATTACTATTGTATGTGAGATACCTCGGTACCTACCCAAGTACTTACCTACTTGCCTGCCCAGGTAATATCATTATCATACCTACCTAGGCACCTAGTTTACCTACTTACTACCGATGTATGAAGCATTGGCAAGCACAGTGGTTGAAGATGCAGCCGGGCCTGCATGGAAGGAAGGAAGAAAGAAACAGACGACGGCACATACACAAATGCAATGCGGTGTGTCATCTGCCAGTGTGCCCTGCAGCTGTCCTCTTCTATTCATGTTCGAGTCTTGCGCTGCGGCGACGGCGGCAACGCACCGACCTCACCCCAATCTCAACCTGCCTTCACAGACTCGTCTCGACATCTCACCATCACCAAGCCAAACTACCGCCGCTGTCTGGCATCCGCTGCCGCCCCTTCCGTCCACCATGGCTTGGACTGATCGACGGCACCTTCATCTCCAGCATAACAGGCGGTGCCATCTAGTCCCGACCGGGCGCCGCCCAGTGCCATCTCCACGCCGAGTCGGTTGTAATTCCTGACTCTGTCGATACAACCAACACATGTTCATCACCACCATGCGCATATCGTCATTCTCCATGCCCATAGCCCTGTGGTATATGCCAAAGCAAAGCACTTGCTGCCACCACGCCTCCGCGCCAATGCATAAGCATGGTCATAAGCATCATCAGCACTAGCATCGCCTTTGTTGCCGAAGGCGGAGCACACTCAATCTAAACACCAATCCCTCGGCTCCATCCCGCGCGGCCCATGGGACAGAGAGTCGGCCATCGGGCTCCAGTGAGTCCCGTCTTTCCTCATGCTGTTAACCGTGGCCCCGTGCATGTTAAGCATTGTTTCTGGATCGGTTCAGGGGAGAGGGGACGGGGAGGTGCCAGGGGCCGGAAACCTCTTTCTCAGTCTTTCCCTCGCTTCGATCCAAGCACCACTCACTCAAAGGGGAAGAACCTTTCAACCGCCCAGGTGCCAGACGCGAAGAAGGCAGTGCTGTTTCTGGCGCCGTCCTGCAATCCCCGTCTGCCAGTCATCCGCCAGCCGGCCTATTCTTCGAGAAACCGACCCCTGCTCGATGATGGCCACCAGGGGGGGCCGCCATCAACATTTCTTTGCTTCCTCTCTCCCCCCCCCCCCCCCCCCCCCCCCTCTCTCTCTCTCTCTCTCCTAACCCGTTGACCGCATCCCATGTCCACATCTGCGCCTACCGTGGCCACCACCCATTAGCCAGTCAGTCCACCGTCCACAGGCCCCCATGTCTAGTGTCGTCTTCATCCTTAGTGGTGCCATAGGCCCGCCGTACCTGCACTAGCCGTCGTCCGCGCAGCACGGACGTGTACTCGCACCTCCTGCTGACTCCACCCCGTCCCTCGTCCCCCGTTCACTCCTCTCCACCCTCCTCAGGTGAGGCATCTTACAGCCAGCCAACCGTCGCCCCCGTGATAGGAGTTGTCCTTCTGGTATATAGGTTCTGTCTCTTCCCGCCGCTGTTTGGCGTTTCGGTTCTTATCCATCATCGAACATTCTTTCCTACTTTCGTTCTATCAAACAAACTGTCCATTCGCTTTCTGAGTGTAAAGTCATTCGCTTCTTTGCTCTCTCAACTTAATATCCCACTTAGTTTTTTTGTTTCCTTCGTTATAGAACCACAATCCCACACTCTCAGGAAAGAATACTCGACCAGCATCCTTCACAATGAAGAACTCTGTTGCTCTTCTGGCTCTTGCCGCCGGCGTTAGCCACGTCACTGCTACCGTATGTCTCTCTCATACACCCGGAACTGCCGGATTCCGTAACCATGTCATGATGAGCCCCTGGATCACTAACAAGCTCCGTAGGGCTGGAACAAGTTCCCTTCTTTCACCTGCCCCCAGAACACCGACAACCAGTGCGACGACAAGCAGAAATCCGGCTTCTCCTGGGGCGACCTGAACACGGGATCTTTCAGCAACTATGCCGGATTTGACTTCAAGGGCTGGACCTGTGAAAGCGACTTCTCCAAGCGCGATCTCCTGGCTCCCCGCACCTTCACCAATGGCAAGGTTATCTCTGGATCTTGCGGACAGAAGAAGGAGACCTCTCCCTCTTTCGGCTGTGGCTCCGGCCCCGGCGCCCCTGACAAGTTCTCCATCTCCCACTTCGACGTGACCACCGAATTCGACTGCGACCTGGAATTCCACTACGACATGCCCGATGGCTCCAGCTGCAAGCAACGCTCTGCCTGCTCCAAGTCTGGAACCACTGTCAAGAACTCCCAGTGCGGTGGTGCCAAGAATGTCACCATCGTTTACCCCTCGCAGCCTTCCAAGCCCAAGCCGACCTGCGGCGTCGGTATCCACACCATCGGCTTCGACTGCAGCCCTGCCGAGACCCCCAAGCCTCCCAAGACCACCGTGAGCCAGGCTCTCCCCACCGCCACCACTCTCCGCACCCAGATCCAGGCCCCGACCACTCTCAGCACCCAGATCCAGGCCCCGACCACTCCCGCCGGCATCCCCACCGTCTCCAAGCCCGTCGAGGAGACCAAGCCCGTTACCACCGCCCCCGTCGAGGAGACCAAGCCTGTCATCACCGCCCCTGTCGAAGAGACCAAGCCCGCCACCACCGCCCCCGTCGAGGAGACCGTCTCTATCCCCGTCCCCATCAAGAGCGAGACCACTCCCGTCGTTTCTCCCATCTCCATCCCCGTGAAGGAGTCAACCCCTGCTGCTGTCCCTTCTGTCACCAAGCCCGCCGAGCAGACACCCGTCATCAGCAAGCCCGTTGAGGAGGTTACCCCTTCCCAGCTTTCCACCATCCCCGTCCCCGCCCCGGTCAGCTCCACCCAGCCCGCCATCATCGAGACCTCCCCGGCTGCCGTCACCCTTGTTGTCCCCGAGACTAAGACCACTGTCTACGACACCACCTCCACCATCTACACCACTAGTGTCGAGACTGTGACCTCTTGCGCACCTGAGATCACCAACTGCCCTGCCAACCACCACGCCGTGGTTACCCGCACCGTTCCCCTCACCACCACCGTCTGCCCAGTCACCGAGACCATCATCCACACCCCTGGCTCCGAGAAGCCTGTCGGCTCTGCCCCCTTCGTCAAGCCCTCTGGCACCAAGCCCGCTGGCCCCCTTGAGACACTTCCTTGCCCCGATGTCGTTCCTCAGTGCCTGAGCAGTTGGATGTGGTCTACTGGCTGCACTGCCAACTCTGACGCCGACTGCTACTGCCCTGACGCCCAGTTCGTTGAGAACATCTTCTCTTGCATCTACGCCTACGGCGTCAGCGACGACATCATCTCCAAGGCCACCCAGTTCTTCCAGGGCATCTGCGCTCCTCACATCCCCCAGAACCCCGCCATCGTCACTGCTCCCGCCACCATCACCACGGCTCTCACTGTTGGTGCCCAGCAGCCTGCCCCGACTAACCCCGCCGACATCACCACTGTCGTCGTTGACAAGACGCTCGTTGTCCCCTGTGTCACTGGTGGCACCACCGTCCCCGGATCGTCCACCACTGCCACCATCAAGACGACCCTCGTGGTCCCCCACGTCTCCTTCGCCACCAACTCCGCCTCCGACGTCGTCCCCGTCCCCATCACGGTCGGCGGTGCTGGCCCTACCGATGTCCAGGTTGCTCCTTACCCCACCGGCCCCGCTGTCGGTGCCAGCATGCCGGCCGGCACTGGCGGTCTTAAGCCTACCCCTACCGGTGTCGTCACCGCTGGTGCTGGCAAGGCTTCCTTCGGCATCGGTGCTGTTGTCGCCATTGCCGCCCTCGCTGCATTCTAAACTTGTCAACATTGTTCTTTTCTATTTCCCCCTTCTGCTAAGTTAGCCCCTTAGGCGAGATTGGAGGAATATCTGAAAATATTTTCCTTGTTGTACCAATGCCACTATGCAGACTCTGTAGCTTACAAGGTTCTGCAATCATACATACCATTCTTACGATCCTTACGAATAAACCGTTGTGTGGGGGTGGTTGGTCTTGGGAAATAGGGATTTCTTAGGACCGTACCACCATTTTTTTTTGTCTTTTGTCCACTGCAACAAACCTTGCCCGCAAACTAGAGCGCACAAGCAAAGGATTGAACACAATGCTCGGCTTTCAGCTGTCTCCTTCCCCCCCTGCTCTTTTTTCTTTACGGATTTTTGAGAAGAAGCAAATGTACCAGAAAAGGAGGTCGGTTGGGCGAGGTGTTGGATTCCGGCGGTATACCCTGGCTGGTTAGTTTGTGTAATATTTAATAGCTTCCGCCCTTGTGAGAAGAATACAGAATGCGCTCTAAAAAAAACTTTCCCAAAAGAAACCCATGGAAATAACGATGAACAACCTGGTGCTCAAGCTGCTGGTCCTGACGCTTTCAAAAAACAAAAAGGAGGCTTGAAAAGTGCTAGAGGTCTCGTCTACAGCGGCTCTGGTGACGAACCAGTCTGCTACCTTTTTGAGTCTGACGGTTGCCATCAATTATCCACCTGACATGATGTGTATTGGGGCGTCGGTCGGCGCCGCTGGACGGTCAGATCGAAGCACCTTGGACGCGGCTCTCAGATAGCCCGCAACTGTTTCCTGGTCTTTCCCTTCCACCGGAGGAAGAGGAGAAGGATTCGTCAAGTCTGCAAAGTATGGCGCGCTATGTGTGTTGGTTAACCCTGGATCAAACCCCATCACGATCCTCGACCGCTATCCTCGCAAGTCCCCTTGGAAGTGTTGGGCGGGACGCACACCCGCACCGGGACTCATCCGCGAACGTGCCTTGGAGGTGAAGTTGGGGCAATTGGATCCGGAAGCAACGGGAGAGAGAAGGAAAACCGCGTTGTCATCTCTCCCAGCCGCACACCCATACAGACCTGGTCTTGGGAACACGAACAGGGGGCGGGCTGTGCCCGTTTTGCTTGCAGACAAGACGCGTGCTTGTTTTGCACCTGGCGGGGAGGCATCCGGTGAGAACTATACATGCGTGTGCGAGAGGCGGTCTGCCCTTGAGCCTTTGACCCTTCGGCTATAGCATTCTTTTGGCATAGGTCATTTTGGACGTCCGATGAGGTGTGCTGATCGTAACTCATATACTAACCCTAAGGCTAGGGCGCCAATGGGATGGCCGTGGTTCTCGAGGAAGGCAAAGGAGGAACATGCGGCCCCGTCGTTGACGACGGGCTTCGGGCGCACAGAAACCATCGTCGTCTCGACTGACGACGCAGGCCCCAGGTCCTAAGAGCTTGTCCTCGAAGAACGGTAGGCATCTCCATCAGCTTCGACTTTGGTCTGTACCGATCCACGTTCCAAGTCAAGCCGCTTTGCTGCAAAGTCAAAGACCCGGCTTGCGTACTTCTGTGGGGGCCAGACGTGCACACCCTCGCCAGACAGCCTGGGCCAGGCAGCGCCTAATGGCTTGTTACTGGGGGAGCGAAAACGCGACAGCTAATCGTCTGGTGGGCATCGTCTTGTATGCCAACCCTCCGGTGCCGGCGTGACCATACCGTCATGATCCTGCCAGGGGCACCACTGCATGGCGGCGAGGGGCTGCCTTTAAGCCATCTTTTCCCCATCAATGCAGTCAGACACTGTTCGCCAGCAACATCATGCTTCTGTGGGTAATGCAAACTGATTGATAAGGAGCAACCGATTCATTTTCACGCTGTCTTCACTGTCTCGATATTAGTTCGGCTGCACGACCGCGAGTTGCCCATGTAGCTTGTTAGATCGGGCAACGAGACTACGAAGCGGCAGAGGGAGGGAGGTGGAAGGGCAGATCCCTATCTTTGAAAGCCTCATAAAGGTCAGGGCCATCCATATCCGGTGTCCTCACGTCGGAGAGAGAGCGCAGACCACTTCGTGTAGAGCGAGTGGGCAGAGAAAGTTGCAATGTAGACCGGCGCCCCATCCCAGTCGGCTTCGGCAGACCAGCCGAGTTGCAATGACTAACATTAAACAGGTAAGTATGTAATAAGTACGATGGTATGTGTCGAGAAGCCGGCCGCGCAGGCCGATCAAGTCCTTCAACTTGGTCGGTATGCCGCATATGGTCTGTCATAAAGCATGGTAAGTGCAAGAAAAAATCACGCCCCCCCGTCGCACAACGCCCAACAGCTTCAAAATGAACAGCCTCCTTTTTAGTGAATATGGTGTGGGTTTATTCGCGTCCCGATTCCGAGGCGTAGTCATCTACAAGACTCTGCATCTCGGCGTCATGGATTCTGCGATCCTGCAGCCTGCGCTGGAGAGGCTCCGCCTGCTCGAATGAACCGCGACGGCCCCAGTTATGAGGCTGGCGCTTGAGGAAGGCGCCGACAGAGCCGAGATAGCCCTCGTGGCGGAGGAAGTAGGCCTGCTTCTTGCCCTGAGACCAGAACTTAATGGCGTAACTAAGGGTGTTGATCGTTTGCCGGTGGCCGCGGATGAAGGAGCCTCCAAAGTAAATGTGGTCGAGGTTGTGAATTTGCGATTGGAGGAAAGCAATCTGACCAATATTGTTTGAAATAGCATATAGAAGAGATCGGGAGATGTCAGCACCAGAGAACGGTTGGTCTGAGGCGTGCTCCGCGGCGGCGTCTTGGTGACCCCCCTCGGCATGCTCGACAGGGTCCGAGGAAGAACAAGGCGTATTCTTGTTGTCGCGGTTGTGAAGACCACCGTGGTCCTCGGCTTCGTTCTCGGCTGTGCGCTTCATGCGGAATACCTTGCCGAACGAGGAAGCGATCGTTGTGCTCTTGAGCCCGATTTTTCCGTAGTCGCCGCCGTAGATGTCGCCAACGAGCATGTCCACTTTGGCATTATCCCCTCGTTCGGACAGGTCGAGCATCTCGTCAAAGGTCCGAGCGCCGGTGAGGAGAGAGAGGAGACCCCATAGCGTGCCACCTCCGAGAGAGGTTCCGCCCACACGCTGGTACTCGCGGGGACCCGAAACCTTGAGGAGCGAGACACCGGAGCCAATATTGACGAGGAGATAGGGATAAATATTTTCCGAGGGCGACACGAAGTGCATGGGGTCTGTCTCGCTGTAGGTGAAGACCTCGCGGGGTATCTCGGTGATGAAGAAGTCAAGACCTGATGATGAATTAGCACCTCCTCAAAAAATCCACACAGACCAGACTTGGGGAGGGAGCACGTTGGAGGGCTTACCAATAATGAGGCATTCCATCTCTTCCTCGCGTAGGACATCCACGCCCAGGACGTCCCGCATCTTGTCGTAGAACTTGAAGGCGCCACCGCCGGTGGCCATGACGCTCAATTCGTTCGGCTTGGAGCCATTGAGGGTCTGCTGCTTATCCTTGAGGTGACGCATGAACTCGATGCAGTCGTCGATGCGATCGGTCTCGAAGTTGAGGAAGTTGAGGCGGCCACCAGGGTCGGCGGAGTGAGGTTCGCGCGTGAAATAGACGAGCTTGATCAGAGAGCCGCCAATCTGCGCGACGGCACGTTAGTATCGAACAAGAAGACGGGGCGGGGGCGCAGAGCGGAGGTTCGCATACATCAACGGCGATGTGGCTCACGACGGCATGGTGGTTGGGCAGGCGAATATCGCTCGTCTCGTGGTGGGTCGGCGAACCTCGGCCATTGTTGCTCGGAGAACTCGAGTCGGGATCGACGATGAAGGCGCCCTTGACGTTGATACGGACGGAGCCCGGGCGGATGATGGTATTGTCAATTTCTTCGGTGCTCGTCATGGTCCGGGCTCTCGTGCGAATTTCGGCGCCAGCCAGGACTGCGGGCACGAAAGAGGAGGTGTCGGTGTTGGTGATGATGTTGTTGTTGTTGTTGTTCAGTTCGTCGTCGGGTCTAGGATCCTCAACCGCCGAGCCTCCATCATCTGGCGCGGGGCCCATGCTCGGACTTTATGGGGGTAGTGGTTGTCGGGCGCGTAGGCGGCCGGACGGAGGTGGCTTGGGACAGTGCAATTCATGAATTGGAGGCCCGAGAGCGGCGTGGTCAGGATCGCGGGAGGCAGGCCGGAGGACAGCTGGTGAGGATGAACGACAGGTGATCGGAGTTGTGTCGGCTCCGGGTTCGCCTTGGGCTGCGTCAGTTCGGTCCGGAGTTGAAGGAGGGGGGGATTCATCGAGGGGTTTGGATTGTGGGAACAGTCGACGGTTTTGTGTCGAACAGACTGGAATCCTTGTCTTAATTACTTTTGCGCGCAAGTCCCCCACGGGTCGGATCGCTTATCGATAAGGTGGATGGATACAAAAGGTTGGACGTGCTCTTTCCTATCTGGGCAAGTACCTGTTGCGCTACCAGGGTACGAATATCCGTACACACTACCATGATGATGGGAGGATTGTTGAGTTCCCCAGTGCCTCCGGGCCTAGGTTTTCAGGGTGTACCCCACTGTATCTCAGCTGGACATGGGATGGGGACACCAAGTGCACCACTGCGGCTCCTTGCAGGCCCCAGCGCACCAGAAGGAAACTCTTCTCTTGTTGCTAAACCCCTTAGCGCCTAGGTAGATACCTAGCTTACCGGTAGGTGGTTCAAATGATACTAAGGATGAATACATGGTAGGTACTATGTAGGTGGCTTCCTTCTCCCTGGACCATCGTCCATCTAGGCCTCGTTTGTTTGCCAGGCCATCCGTGCGGCGGTTACTTCCGCTGATAGCATAGCTCAGCCTCAAATTGCGCGCGCGCGCGTGTGTGTGTGTGTGTTGAGTCATCGAGGTACTTTTGATCACTGATCATCGCCTGTGGGCTGCCCGATTGGAAACTGTAATCACCGGTGCTTGCCTCACTTTGTAATTAAGCAATTACCATCCAGTCCAGTCACTTCGCAGGCGGGCCGACGGAGGAAAAGAACCTATCGACGCCTTACTGCCAGCATCGATGCTGCCCTCACACTGTCACATGTCAGACGATGCAAGTCGAGCAGACAGAACGAACGGCATCTTCATTGACGTTTATTTTGGCCATCGGCAATCGTCCAGGAATCGGGTCCTTGGGCTTCGTCACGGGATCCTCCCACCTCATATGACCGGCCGTGCGAGCGAGAGCCCTCGACTTTACACGCCGGCTCATGTAAACTAGCTCGCCGAGACGGGTTGCCTTGGCGCGAAGACAACCGGCAGGCTGGCTGGTTGGCTATCTAGGTAGGTAGCTGGGTGCTGCGCACAGGGCTGAACTGGTACGTATGCTTGGGACAAATCTCACGCGGGCATCCGTGGTCGGGTGCCTGGCCACCCTTACACCCATGATACCGCAGCAGGCAATCCTGAACATTAGCCGCGCTTCCCGCTCTGATCCATAATCATGTCTACTTGTTTGCGGTAGCGCACACCTAGCCAATCTTGGTGCGGTCCGGCCCGTCGGCGGAAGGAGGCTCGGTCGGCTGTGGGCCCGTAAAAGTCTCGGCGTCTCGCGGTCGGCGGCCCCGATGACTTCCAACCCCGGCTGCAAGAGTCATTGCAGAATCCTGGACGTGCTCAATTTGCTTCGAGGTAATGCGCCATCGCGGCTATGCCTGCGAGACTTCTGCTTTCCTCCGTACTGCACGCAGCATCCGACCAGGACCGTCAGGGTAAGCAGCGGCGGAAGAGATATGGTGTGGCACCGCCGTTGGGGACCGATTCTTAGTTCCCCAGAACTGTCGGGTCGGTTACCCCCCGGGGCAAGAAGTGTCACAGGTCTCACGAGATTTCAGGCAACAACGTCAAATCTGTACCGGTACTGAGACCCGATGAGATAGTGGAGGCATGAGAGGGTCTACCACCTTCTATACCGCATGTAGCCTGAGTAACCAGTGTGATCTCAAAGTTTATGGCCTGGTTGTTCTTAGATGGCAACATGGTATGTGACCCGTTAGTATGAAGGCACTTTACAAGAGAGAAGCATTTGACTATCATTTCCTAATACTGTCAAAGAAAATACCTCAATCTGGGCACAGGGCCAGGCTTCCCATGGTTACCCCGGTGGAAGTCGATCACCCACCGATCGCAGCCTGACAAATCCCGCGCTGGCTGCCAGGTCGGCTCCGCGTACTCCCAGTCGATGAGATATTCCAGTCTCGTCCGCGGCGTCTTCCCGGCCCATCTCGAATCGAGTATAGCCCTGAATGCCCATCGTTCCTCGTCGGGTTTCTTGTTGTACTTCACGACGACGCGGCCTTCCTTCTCCGGCTCAGGCTGCGACACCTCCGCGATGAGGGTGGGGATGGTGGCATTATCGTCTTCTCCTTCGTCGGGACATAGTACCTGGGCTGCGTTAGTCCTTCTGATCCATGGGTCATGGAGCAAAGACCATTCAAACCAGGCCTCGGGGGTGAGGTCTTGAGAAAGGGGAGACACTGCGGCGTCGATGGGTCCGTGGGAGACGAAAGGGGGCGGGGAGGGTGTGCTGAGGCGATTCCAGGACTCGTCGATGCTCGGAGCGTGAACCCAGGCATTGCAGAAGAGCCCGACGACGGCCACGAGGACCTTTGTTACGGATCGGGTGTCACAGAACCCAAAGTCCCAGCAGGCCCGGCTCTCGAAGTGGGAGTACAACTTGATGAGGCATACTACTAGGGCCCGGTCGGCGAAGTTCGCTCCTAATGCAGTGGGCTGCATCAGCAAGCCCTTTCGTTCGGACGGACTCGTGTTGAGTATCATCTCGCTTACGCTGTTAATGGTGCCGTCTTCGTCCAGCAGAGGACCGGGTTGAGCTTCGGCACGCTCAAGCTCGATGAGAAGGGTGCGGATCACGGCCCGGACAGGCGGAAAGCGCATGAAACTGTGTAGCTTGTTGATGTCGATATTGTATCTCTTAGCCAGCTTGGCCAGGTCAGTGTTGACTGCAACGGATGACGTGTTGGAACCGGTAGGCGGGTTGACCAACTGAAACGTGTAGTCGTTGGGCCACACAGTATTGGGACATCTTCTGGAGCTGTCCGCAAAGGCAATCTCAAGGAACGTGTTGTTAACGAGTGGTTCATCGTAACGCCATCCCTGTTTGACGTGTCGTTCCTGCAGAGCCGAGTTCATGAGCCTTATAAGATGCCTATTCGTGCCGCCTACCTGTCCTGAAGTAGGCCTGGGCATATCGTCCTCTGTGGCGCGCATGTTGTTGTAAGCAATATGAGTGCGCGCGGTGACTGTAGTGGGTAGAGAAACTGAACCAAAGCAAGTGCGAGTTGAAAGTATGTTAAGAACGGAAAATGCGCCAAAGGCAAAAGCAATGTTGCCGAGCTAGTAGATGCGGACGTTCGCAGCATCCTCGCGTGATATATATATATATATCGAGACATGGCCTCAAAGGAGATTGACAGTGGCCTCTCCCAGGCCAAGGCGAGACGTGAATGATACTCTCCTTTCATCATCGTCTCTCTGCATCCAAAGGCCGAACCAGTACCGCGAATTCTGCCGCATATCGCGACTCAGCGACAATGAAAGCGTATAGTAACAATGCTTCGACAAAGACGTTGTCCATGAGGCCGAGCGGTGTTAAACTTGGACTTCCAAGCAAGCGCCCATTACTCGAGTTCAATGGCACGGTTGACGTAGCAATGTACAACTGAGCTGGCCGTAACAATGTCTTTGTTCCACGCCGAAACAGGAATCACCGTACCAGTAGAGATGCGATGTGGATGTCGAGGTCGAGGTGGCGGTGCCACAGTTGCAGACAATCATTCTTAAACATGGCACGCGGCATAGCTGTAGTAGAGAGACTCAAGGATCCGGAGGGCGACGGCAGGCGACGGGCCGGCCAGTTGCTCACATGGGTGGGCTGCGCGCGGCAAAGCGGCCATCGATCGCTAGACGGGTAGAGAAGTATCATCAAGGAGAAACGCAGGGATCGTTCTATGTAGTTCCAAGGACTGTGTGTATGGGACCTGGCCCATTGAAAGTGGCAAGTAAGAAACAGAAAGCGTCCAATAGAGGGCGGCGCCCGAGCCATCGCGTCGAGCTAGGTCTGTGATTGAAGACGGTGGGCCAACGAGGTGGTGCTCAACTGGATGAAAAGTCGAGCAGCGAAGGCACACGTGGTATGTCTGGCCGCTGCCCTCATGATGCGTGGCCAGTGACATGGCGGTGTGTTGACAGGTGTGGCATGGACTACTAGTAGTGTACCGGCGGGAGGAAATCGTTTCCCGTATATTGAGCAAATCAGACTGACTGTTCATCGTTATGACCCGAAGCCGTGGGTGAGAGGTGGTCAAGGACCAAGGAAGAAACGTCCGTTGGAAGCGCATCTGACTCGTGCGACCCGCGGAGGCGCTGAAGAGATGGCTCAAAGGGACATGGGAAAAGCCTGTCAACCGTTGACCGAGCTCTCTGAGCTGGGAGGTACACCCCAATAGACGAAACAGTCGAGCCGGAGACTTGGAACGGCTGGTTCCGAGTTGGAGTTTCCGCAAACATGTTGGCGACAAAGATTTGGAGACATGCAGATGGATGGGAAAAGGACAACAGACGATGAGAGGGTAGAGTGAGAAGGGGAGGAAGAAGCCATTGAAACCGAGGGCCGAGATGACGGGAGGCTGGTTGCGTCGATGCCCTCTGTCTGGGTCTCGTTGCGTCGGCATTGCCGAGCAGCAACACGAGGTTGGGACGGACTCAGTCATTGGACTCCCGAACCGACTTGAGAGGGATACGTGACAGCCAGCTCAGCCATCTAGCAACAAGGACAGGACACGCTTTAGCACTCTTGCTGATGTATCTGGCGATCGACCGTGGATTGTGGGGACTCTCACGATGCAGCGAGTCGAGGAAACGAGAGGCACACTGATTTAGGTAGGTAGTTGGCAAGTAAGTAGGTACCAACAGAAACGGAAGGCCTAGGAATGAGGTCACATAGTCAGGGTCAGGGTCCCCCTCCTGGGTCCTGACGGGGGATGACTTGCCCAGGTTGCCTTACCAGGGACATGACCCCCCTATGGTCCCCCACTCAGTACCCGGTCACTACCTGGTAGTCTGTAGAAAGGTAGGCAGGTAGGTAGGTACACTAGTGACGAGATGATGGCGTGCGTCGGTGAGGAAAAGTGTGTGATTGGGTTAGGCCCAACGGACCTGGGCCATCCCGGTCGAGCATGATAATTCCTACAGGGTGCATCAGCGTCTTCCGACCTGCCCCGGTGGAGATTGCGACAATGGTCGACGCTTATCGATTGGAGCGCGTTATCTCGTTGCGTTCGCTCTGTTTGGTCGGTCGCATGTGGAAAGGGAAGCAAGCTCCCGCAAGCGCCGCCCTCTAGAACATGAACATGAGCGACGAACCCGGTGTGGAACAACACCATCCACTTTAATGCTTACTTACCTAAGGCACACAGAGTATCCTACGTATCCGTATGTGCCCAATACCTACTAGGTATACCTATACTCTCTCCCCAAGTTTTCTTAGACGGGACGAACGTGGGTTTGATTGTCTTCCTGCTTGGAGACAGAGACGGACAGGACAGGACAGGACAGGACAGGACAGACAGACAGACACGTAGCGTCTATAGTTTGGGTGAGACGCGCTGCTTCCAGGATGGAATCTGACGTTGGGTATATATGTACCCAGGTAGTTACTCTGAGTAGCATCGTACCCGGCATCGGTCCGTTGAAGCAAGGAAAGTACGAGATGCGGCTGGCATGTGTTTGTCACCGGCGCCGTCCCTCGCCGCCATTGGTGACTGACTGCCTTCCCTGTTTGGTCGGGAATGTTCGTTCCTTTCTTCATTGTCCTCCCGCTGCTTCCATATCCATATTGCATCCCTTTGTACCTAGCTACCCCGTGGCCCCAGGTTTCTACCTACCTACCTACACATTCCCCCCATCCACTAATTACCCTAGGTATCTGCCCGATCGGTCGCATCAGCTGCTTGTCGCATTCATGGCTGTTTCTGTGCCCAGCGATCACACACTCTCTCTCATCTCCTCTCCCCTCCCCCCACTCCCCATCAATGACGTCCTCGGCTTCTCACAAGACGGAACGTGGAGACAGAGGCATCCGTACTGGACGACCATCTTGGCGCCGCCTTTGGACAGGTGCATGGAAAGGAGCACACATGGCAGCCGTCCAACAACCTGAACACAGATGGACACAGACAAGCAGCAAATAAAATAAGAATATTAGTAAAGACCTGACTTACACACACAAAGTCTTTGGTACAATTCGATGCGCTGACGCGCCGTGCCCATCTGCCCCGCCGTGCCTTCCATGTTCCGTCCCATGCCATCCCATGCCATCCTGCCGCATCACCTCTTTTTCACTCACCTCACAGTCTTGTGTGCCTTCCCGGCTCCCTGCGTCCGGTGTCTCCCATCTCTCCTCGTCCTTGTCTTCGCTCCCCCCCAATCAAAGTCTTGTGCCTTGCCTTGCAGATATCTCACCTCGCCTTAACCTCTCCAACCACCCTTTCCCTACCTACCTACCTTACCACCCGCCCATCCTCGCTCCGGCTACCTCGTCATCCTCGGGTCGTCCATCGCAAGACGAGAGAGGCCTAGACCACCAACATCAACGACGGCCCTACGCACCGCGACCGAATCCGCCGCCCGACCCCTACCCAATCAATCTTTCTCGACCTCGCATCACCCTGGCCGTCTATCTACTCCTTCCAAGAACGTCCGAACATACACACAAGCTGCATTCTCTCTGTCATCCCCCAACCTACCTACATACCTACGTCGCTCGCCGCCATCGACGTCTGTCTTGGCCACCTGGCTGCACCATCATAGTTGCGCCCAAGAAAACGACCCTTCGTCCTCGCGACGTCACTCAACTCACCCCAAGTCGCACAACCCAGAGCCCTCTCGCCATCGCCAATTGCTCTCTTACACTCCTGGACGCCATCCGCACCTCGTCCGAGCCCTACTTGTTCCGCACCGTTCGGCCTCATCGCGTCGCATCGCACTGCATTGCATCACGGCGCAAACCGCCTTCTCTGATGAATCGTATTCGCACGCCCGCGTGCTGCCGGTAACTGGACGCGCCCTGATACAGCTACACGCTTTTCTTTTCACACCTCCGTGGATCCTGTTGCTACGCTGCTCATCGCCATCGCATTTTCTTCGACGACGCTGCGCCCCCCTCTCCCGCCCAAAACCACTCTCCGTCATTTTCTCTGGCCATCGTTGCCCCGCCTCCATTCTGTCGGCTCTTGTTTTCTCATTTCCACCCCACTCCTTGCAGGAAATCGCCTGTCAACGGCTCGTCTGACTTTGACATTACCGCCGAAACCACCTCCTGCCCACACCTTCAGCTGGCTCGGCATAACGTATCCCAAGACACAAAGGCTGGTATTCACTCGGTGGACGAGGCCCGACAGATCGACGCGCGCACAGCTGCCTTCAGTGTCTGCGCTGCAATCGGGTACCTCGAGCTTGGCGCTGGACTGGATACTACAGACGAAACATCACCAATCCAAGGCCGTCAGCCGTCGCGCTCTGCTGACCTCGAGCTGCTCTGTCTCGACCCTGGGCTCGACTTTGCTCCCCCAACTGGTTCCCCAACTGATCCCCCACACTCCCCGACCTGGAGACAACACATAATCGATTCCACTCTACGCATTCCACAGTTCACGATGAACGGCAGTCAGCAAGCCCAAGAGACCGCTGCGCAACAGCCTCTGCAGCCGCCAGCCGCCAGTGCCAATGCCAATGCCAATGCCGATTCCTCCAACGCCAACGCCAGCGCCAACGGTAACTCGACGACAGTCAAGAAGCGCAAGAAGGATGGCCTGAAGCCCATCATCACGACCGAGACACCTCCGTAAGTTTGATCCACAGAGCGATTTCTTACCTGTTCTCCCGCGTTTGCATTTCCCTTTTGCGTTGCATTGTTTGTGTGTTTTGGTATCGTTTTTATGTCGGTTCATCCCCTAGGCGGGGGAACAGGCAAATGGTTGGTTTTCGTTACCCGCAATATTGTTCCCATCAGGCGCCCCCAGGTTTCATTTACACAGGTCATTGTTCTCCTTCCACTGTTCGCACCATTACCCCTCTATCCTGTTTAAAAGCGCCGCGCCCGATGCCGCACGTCCTTCCCTGCGCTCGTGGCGGGGCGCAACATGGGGGGACAGCGATGGCCCCCCCCCCCCCCCCCATCCAACCAAACCAGACCAGTTTAGGCTTGTCAAGTCCGGCAAGCCCAGTCCCAGTCCGAATTGGCACTGCAGAAGTGGAAGCAGAGGCCAGTCAGTGCCCAACACCGCGCCGCGCAGCTTGTCTCACTCCCGGCCATTTGTGAGCTTGCACAGAGAGGGTCCGCGTTCGAAGACTCTGCGCCACGACAGCTATGAGGGAGAAACGGGAAGACCGTGGCGACACGACGAGGCGACAGAAGATGAGGACCCGGTTGGGGATGCAGCGGGACCGATACCCGATGGGGGCCTCTGTTGCTCGAAATAATGGGTATCGGGTGCCTCATGGCCGTTGCACGGGGAACCCATTGGCCTGAGATCAACGTTTGCTTGGCCAGCAAAACACTGGACCAGAGGTCGAGAGGCCGCTCCTCCACAATATTTACGGGTTGCCAGCTGTCGCCATCTCCAGCAGCAGCAGCAAGCAGCGGCCGCGCCTCGGCGGCGGATGCAGCTTCATACTTGCTGGGCGGGCGATGCGCAGCATGTACACTAGAGGCGCACAGTTTCGACATGCCATATGCTGCACCCCGCCTGTGCGACCGCGGAATTCTCTCAGCAGGGCGTGGAAGAGGAGGAGAGATGGCCGACAGAAACCTGATGCAAGGCGTGAGGCTTGGAAAGCGGCATGCATGGTGCGTAGGCTGACCGAGGGGTGCCACGAAGCGCCTACGTCCTGGACACCTCTCACTTGAACTGGACTGAACTGAAGTCAAATTTTCTCAGTATCAGCGTTTCCTCATTACTGTACGGTGGTGTCCAAGATATTGGCGGGATGCATACACCGATATCTTGAAATGCGTCTTGCAAGTCCAAGTCGCTGACGCAAAGGGGTGATCCGCGCTAGGCTTCCTTCCTCTACCCCCTCTCTGGACGTTCAGTTAGTCAAGTGTCCCGCTGACCCTGTCCTGACGGAACCCTGGACTGGACTGGACTGGACTGGCTCCAAGTGGCCCAGGCCTGTACTTTCATTTTGCTTTATTGTTTCTGCTGCGTCACTTGCCGACCCCCTCATTCCCGTCCCTGTTCTTGTCCTCACTCATTCCCTCACCCATCACCACCACCACCCACCCACGGACGGACGCTGACCCCTCCCTTCTCTTGTTACCTGCTTTTGTTTTTCCCCCCTCCCCCCTCTCTCCTTCCTCGTTACCCTATTACCGACGTCGACCTTATCCAGCTCAGGGCCCTGTTCTACGCTACCTTACAGTCTCGTCCACACTTCGAGCTGCCTGCGCACGCGCACCCTACCTTTTTTCTACCTTACCTTGATCCCTTGACCCGCCGTTTTCTGCCTTTTTACCTGGCTGAACCGTTCCCGCGCCTTACCTATCTTTAAACTCCTTCCTCCCTCCCCTCAAATCTTTGCCCACCCCAGTCGGCCACAACTGGACTTGCCGCTGTCACTTCAGTGACTTTCCCATGTTGTGAGCGGCACCAGTTTCGTACTGGATTCCCGCCCATTCTTTTCTTTTCTTTTCTTTTTATTTTATTTCGCTATTCTCGCTTCATTCTTGTTGTTTTGGTCTTATCGTCGCTCGGCCTCCCGCTCTTCTACCCTCTCTCTTGATTTCCTTCTATAGGATTGTTCGCGCTGGATGCGCAATGTTGCAAATATGAGCTTCCTCAAGACAAGGTTCCTACTCTTCCTTTCCCCCTTTGACTCGTCGCAATTCATGGTTCGTTTTCGCGCTGCGAAATCTTCGCCCGCCAACCTGCCATTCTCCACCCCCGCCATTTTCATCATGCACTTGGGGTCGCTTTTTTGCTCACCTTGCGCTTCCGCGTTTTAATTTTGACTCGCCTCCGTACCCGGGGAAACATGAGCTAACGGTTTCTTTCTTCCTCGACAGAACCCACCAGCTGTCTGCTGCAATGCAGAACTCGCCGACGTCAACATCGTCGGGTGAAGACCCCGCCGAGAACACGGCAGACGAGGAAGATTCTGAGGATTACTGCAAAGGCGGCTACCACCCTGTCCAGATTGGCGAAAAGTTCAAGGACGGCAAATACACAGTCGTGCGCAAGCTCGGATGGGGTCACTTCTCGACAGTTTGGCTCTCCAGAGACAACACGTCGGGCAAGCACGTCGCCTTGAAGGTCGTCCGCTCCGCCGCGCACTATACCGAGACCGCCATTGACGAAATTAAACTGCTCAATAAGATCGTCCAGGCTAAGCCTGACCATCCTGGCCGCAAGCATGTCGTCAGTCTGCTCGACTCCTTCGAACATAAGGGCCCTAACGGCACGCATGTCTGCATGGTCTTTGAGGTTTTGGGCGAGAACTTGCTGGGCCTGATTAAGAAATGGAACCACCGAGGCATCCCCATGCCCTTGGTCAAGCAAATCACTAAGCAGGTGCTGCTCGGCCTCGACTACCTACACCGCGAATGTGGTATCATCCACACCGATTTAAAGCCCGAAAACGTCCTTATTGAGATTGGCGACGTTGAACAGATTGTCAAGAAGGTGGTCAAGAGCGAGCCTGGCGACAAGGAAAACAACAGAAACGGTCGGAGAAGGAGACGCACCCTCATCACCGGCAGCCAGCCGTTGCCGTCTCCCTTGAATGCTAGTTTCAACCACAACAACCTTTTCCCAACTACCAATTCGAGCCTCAGCCAAGTGCTGCACGAAGGTATCCGATCCTCCCCACCACCATCACTGCGCCACCTATACCCCCGCGGACCGCGTCACCCCCGCCCCCTAGCCACGCCACTACCTCAATCCGAATTGAAAATGTCGATTGATGGTGCTTGAACACGAGCTGACATACGTCTGCAGGCGGAAAATCATCAAGTGACGCCTCCCCCAAGCGCGATGCTGATCAGAAGACGCGCGAAAAGACAGCGTGAGTATTACCCCACTTTGATGAAATAAGTGGGCGACGTTATGTGATACTGACCGCTTTTTATGCAGCGATCTACTCACGAAAGAAGTTTCGGGCATCTCCCTCGACAAGACGAGCAACTCGCCTTCCTCCGGGGAAAAGCGTAAAGCGGAGGACGCGCATGCATTTGACGTTATCAGCGTTAAGATTGCCGATTTGGGCAACGCCTGCTGGGTCAATCACCACTTTACCAATGATATCCAGACCCGGCAGTATCGCTCACCTGAGGTCATATTGGGTGCGAAATGGGGCGCAAGTACTGACGTGTGGAGCATGGCCGCAATGGTAAGGCTCAAGAAGCATCACAAACCGCAATAAGTGCAATGCTAATCGCCATGCCTCACCAGGTGTTTGAACTGATTACGGGCGACTACCTGTTTGATCCACAATCCGGAACCAAGTACGGCAAGGACGACGATCATATTGCGCAAATCATTGAACTCCTCGGGCCCTTCCCCAAATCGCTTTGCCTATCAGGCAAGTGGTCTCAAGAGATTTTCAACCGCAAAGGCGAGCTGCGTAACATTCACCGTCTGCGTCACTGGGCTTTGCCAGATGTCCTCCGCGAAAAGTATCACTTCAAGGAGGAGGAGGCAAAACGCATCGCTGATTTCTTGACCCCCATGCTTGAACTCGTGCCCGACAAGCGTGCCAATGCAGGAGGCATGGCGGGACACGTGTGGCTAGACGACACACTCGGCATGAAGGGTGTTCGAATCAACGGGCTTGAAGTCGGCAGCCGGGGTGAGGGCATCGATGGCTGGGCTACAGAGGTGCGGAAACGGTAGGGGAAGGTAACAAAGGCCGCTTTTGATAGAGGGGGCCACCAAGATATCACCATAATTTTATATGAACCATCACCGGCCCCCTCGTCCCCCTTGGTCAGCGTTTTACACCGTTTGTCTCTAGCATCGTCACACCTGATATGGACTGAGTAATTTGGCACTACGCGCACCCATCATGGGGCATGGGGTTTTGCTCTTGAACAGTATCAAAAGACACGTACATACACTAGGATCACCAACACTACTACTACTACTACTACTACTACTACTACTACTACTACTACTACTACTACTACTACTACTACTACTACTACTACTACTACTACTACTACTACTACTATACAGTCATGGCCGAAAGCGCCGGATATGGGGACTA